GAACAGAGCACAGTCGAGGCTTCTTTATTTGTTTTATGATAAAGAATCCAATAATTTCCCCACGCATTCGTCTGAATTTTCAAACCAAACTTTATTTTCCAAACGAGTAAAAGTGGCGTCAGCCGTGCTCTATTCTGTGATAAAGTACGCTAAAACAAGCCAATCAAAATCCTTGTTAGAACTGTTCAAATAATTTGATTGGCTGACGAAGCGACAGCTTTCAATCACAAACTGGACTTCAGCTAAGCTTTCAGTTTCGAGTAGTTTCGCCTGGAACGGCTTTCGAGAGAAGAACGATGCCTTCAAAGTTCGCTTCTTAGTTAATTTTTAAGGTCATTCCGCTGAAATAGAACTTGCCCTGAGTTTTTTGTGAAACTTCGTCTATCGATCGTTTATCTTATAGGAACTTAAATTTTGAAATAAAAATGAGGGGTCCTCATGTTCGTTTAGGAGCAAAAGCACCTTGTTTATACCCATAGAAATCTTTATAATACCACCATGATTGTAGTTACGATTGCTTGCTAAATTCACGTTTTCGACGATTCCTTTTTGTTCTACACTGAGAATTGGTCCATATCTATTTTACACAGAGAAATTTATTACTCAATTCAAAACAAGAGAAAAAAATGATAGGTCGCCATACTCGTTTGTGAGAAAATGACGATTTACCTCTATGGCGAGGTCCAGCTGTGAAGAAAAAGTTGCCATTTTTTAATGCGCGCGCGCTAATCACGCGTGAAATTATGCGCAGTAGGGATGCGCAATGCAATACTGGGGAATGACCTTAAATAGGGATCTAAAGGCAGGTAAAGGTTTGTAGTCCAGAGGATTCCGGGCACCTTTCTAATGGAAATTACGAAACAAGGCGCTCAAAGCTTGCAGATGAAAATGCGAAATGCTGAGTTCAATTTGAAAGGAGCTAAAATTATTTACGACTTGCAGCCGCTTGCAGCAAGATCGCCCAAACTAGCGTAAAAGTTAGAATGACTAAACTGCTCTCACTGGTTCTACTCCGAGCACAGAAAAGAATATCAGAGCAAGCTTTGAACTGACCACTCGTCCGTTAACTTCGCTGAGATGACCGGAGAACGATTGTTACTACACTGCATGTAAGGGTTGTTTGAGCACTTAAGCATTTTTAAAAAAATAAAGCTTCTCATCATAAACAGAGACAGCTCAATTGCTGTTTTCTGTCGTTGTTTTACTTCTTAAGTATAATTTCTGCCTTCGTGACAAATATATGTTTTATCGAAGCACTGGTTAGCTTAAGAATTTGTTTATTTCGCCAAGTGTTTTGTCGGCGGGAATCTAGAAAAACTTGTTATTTTCAGCGCAGTTTTAACGCTACTGTTGCTAACAATGGTCTCCGTGAGCCTTATTTACTGCAGACAAATAGCTCGTTTCCATTGCGTTTGTCTGAGTCACAAGGGATGTTTAATTTGGGTAAAGTTTGTCAAACATCAGAAGCAAAGATTTGAAAGCCAGCTTACCGTCATCAACCCGTGCACTGTTCTCTGATAAAACACGCTGTTTCAGCCAATCAAAGTGCGCGTGATTTGGAAACTTTATTATAGTTATTATTATT